AGCCCGACGGTCCGCCCTCAATCAATCAATACTATTTATTTTGGGGGTTCCTTATTATAATTATAGTACAACATGCCCCAAAACCCTGCGCTAATTATTAAGGCCCCTATATTAGAATTGAGGTTCTGTGGTTTTGGGCCTTCAGGTTGAGTCTTCAGTTTACAGTAGGGCTTTGGGTTAGGCTGGAACTTCCTTTGAGGTTTAAGGACTAGGGGCCACCGTAGGGTTTAGAGCTTAGTGGGTAGTGTCGATTTTAGGCTGTGAGATGCAGACTTCCTTGCAGCTCGCGGCTTAAGAACGTGGGTAGAGGTGGTGTCTTAGCAGCAATGGCTGCTCATCGATGTTTGAAGTCGCCGCCCCAGCTGGCTGCAGGTCTCAACAGTCATCGATCTGTCCGTGCAAATCTGTACAAGCCCTAAACCCCTGCCCTGCCCTACCCAGCCCTGTCCTCCCTGCCCTATTGTCTGGAAGGAAGAAAACGCGTTCTTGCATGAGTTTAGGCCTAAACCCTAAAAGAAATAGATTTGGGCGGTTGGCCGCCGTGTACGGCGTGGGGTGGGAGAGAAGGAAGGACAGCCTTCCATAGACAGGCTTTCACAGCTTATCTTGAATGCTTGCCAGGCTGTTGGGGTTTAGGAAGACGGCCGTCAAGGTTTGTGGCTTTAGGGCTCCGGGCTTTTAGGGTTTGGGGCTTAAGGTTAGGACTTTATCCCAACCTTAGGGCTTTAAGGGTTGGCGGTTGAGATGCAAACCCTAAACCCTAAACCCTACACGTCCGCCGCAGGAGGAAGCTGCTACAAAGCGAGGCGAGCAAGGCACCAGAGAGCGGATGTTTCATTTGCCTCTCCCTAGAACCTCCGGTTGCCTAAATAGTGGGTTACCGGGGTACATAATATGTGGGTTGGTTAGGTAACTACCTAAATAGTGGGTTACCGGGGTACAAAGAGCTCGCACAATAATGTTTCGTGTGTTTCCTTGTTGTGTTTCTTTCGCTTTTGCACGCCTTTCACGTGTCACAGGGGCGAGAAGAAGCAAGGAAAGCACGATTTAATTATCACACAGGCAGTCGTTCCACCCAACAGGCCCTCCTAAACCCTAAACCCCTACCCCTAAACCCTAAAACCCCTAAACCCCTATAAGCCCTAAATCTCTAAATTCTTAAACCTCTAAACCCCTAAACCTCTAAACCCCTAAACCCCTAAACCCTAAACCCTAAACCTCTCAGGGTTTAGGGTCCCCGCTTTCCAGGTCTCGCTCGCTGCAGTGCTGCTTTTCGGCACTGTGGCTCGGGTCTCGGAGTTGGCGCGCTTGGCTTTGGGCGGAGGGCGTTTTTTGGGGTTTAGGGGTTTTTTGGGGGTTGAGGGTTTAGGGTTTAGTGCAGGGTTTATAGGACTTAATTAGGGCTTTTGAGGGTTTAGGGCTTTTTTGGGGGGTTGAGGGTTTAGGGTTTAGTTTAGGGCTTAGGACTTAGTTAGGGCTTTTTTGGGTTTAGGGCTTTTTTGGGGTTGAGGGTTTAGAGTTTAGTTTAGGGCTTAGGACTTAATTAGGGCTTTTTTGGGTTTAGGTTTTTTTTGGTTTAGGGCTTATAATAGGATCAGTTTAGGGTTTATAGGGCTTAGAGTTTAGGGTTTAGGTCTTAGGGTCAGTTTTGGGTTTAGGGCTTAGGACTTAAATAGGGCTTAAGATCAGTCTTGGGTTTAGGGCTTAGGACTTAATTAGGGCTTAGAGGGTTTAGGGTTTGGGTTTAGGGCGTAGGGGCCAGTTTAGGGTTTATAGGGCTTTGGGATTAGCGTCTAGGGCCGGTTAGGGTTTAGGGATCAGGCTGAAAGGGGTCAGGGATTCGAGTCTAGGATCTATAGGGTTTAGGGGATTAGGGTTTAGGGGATTAGGGTTTAGGGTTTAGGGTTTAGGATTTATGGGGTTTAGGATTTATAGGGTTTAGGGGATTAGGGGAGTACCGATCAGGCTTGGTTTGGGGTTTTGAGCTTTAGTGCCGAGTAGGCGTGCTGTATACACGGAAAGGTCAAAAGAAGGAGCTGCAGTTAAATGCAGGGCTAAGGGCGCGGGGTTTGGGTGTACCATTGAGGGTTCAGGCTTTAGGGTTTAGGGTTCAGAGTTTAGGGTTTAGGGTTTCCTGTTTGACGGGGTCCAGGGATTTATGGTAAAGGCTTTGGGATTCAGGGTTTGTGGGGGTGGGCTGAGGGTGGAGCTACCGCACTAAAGCCTAAACCAAAAGCCCTAAGCCCTAAACCCGGCAGTGTTTGAGTGCGTGGCATCACAGCTGTAGCACCAACATGTATAGGCCTCGAGCTTTGACCCTAGGACCCCCAGGCTGTTTCGGAAGAAAGATGCCCAGCATTTAGATATGTTGTTTATTCGTAGGACTTGGGCCTACCTATAGTCTCCATTGTAGGTCCTTTTCGGGGTGGATTCATAGTATGTGTTTGATTCTGTTTGATCAAACCAGAAAAAGGAACTACAATGGAGACTGTAATATAGCTATATAGGGGCCTTCATAATTACTTGTACTATTTTGGAGGGTTCCTTATCATAACTCTATTATATAATACAACCAACCCAAAACCCTATTCTAATTATTAAGGCCCCCCCCCCATAGTAGGGTAGTAGGGCTTTGCAGCTGACCCGAAGAATGTTTGGGCCCGGATGTTGGTCTTCAGCGCACCCGAAAGGGTGGTTCGCTTCGGGACCTGGCAGCCGTAGCACAGAATATCAGGTGAGGTGTGGCGTTCTGGTTTAGTGTTTAGGGCTTAGGGTTTCAGTGGTGTTGCTTTCAAGAGCTCTCACCATGTGTGAGCACGACTGTTTGCGGAAACCCGTTTTTCTACCCGTAGCCTGCTCAAGGTGACGACTGGCCTGGGCATTGCGGGCTTCCTGTCCTATCTGCTCGTCGCACCGCGGGTTGTGCGGGCCCAAGGAGTCGAAAACATCGCGACTGAACACAAACTGGAACGGTTTAGGGTTTAGGGTCTCGTCCTGCACCTCAAACCTGAGACCATACAAAGCTCCAGTGCCAAAGACAGAAATGTCGGGTGTTACCTAGATATAACCAGTTTTTCGTATGGATCCTATAAACTAACCCCCAAAAGGAAATATATGCAATGTCATCTATAGTTAAGATTTCCTCCTCCCTGTGACACGTCCCGCAAGCTGTGCATGACACAGGCTCCTGTCTGCTCTAGGAGCCCCACATGCCCCTTAATGGAACCCATGGTGCTAAATGCTGGGTATTCGGGGTATATTAGAGGGTAGTTGGGGGAGTCTAGGTTTACAAACTCACAGATGCCGGTTGATAGACGGCCTCAGACGGTTTAGGGCTTACCTTAGCCCACCAAAACCTACGTTTTTTGTTTGTAAGGTCCCTATAAGTCCCATCTTAGGGTTGACAGTAAGAACTTACGAAAAAGTGGGTTTTGGTGGGTTAAGGTAGGGTTTGGGGCTTGGTGTTTGGGGATTAGGGTTTACATACGTACACCAGCGCCAGCGCCAAAACCAGTACAAACAGGCATGTACACGTAAGACTCTCGGAACTATCGTTTCACTTGTGCAAGTGCACGGAGAGGGGGGATGTTTCGTCTGTGCTGCAAGGGTTTGGGGCGTGGGTCAGTGTGCACTTGGTGTACAGTT